GGGAAGAAACTGTTAACAGGGTCAAAATGCTGACTCAGCATTCACACAAAACAAATTCAACATCCCGCAGCGTTTCTCCTCAAAACCGTTCAAGTAAAACTCATTAACCTCCACAAATGTTCTGATCTCTGGACTAAATTATGTTCCCTCRTCTTTAAACATTAAATTAGACAGATGGGATAAATTTTATGACCTGATAAATGTTGAAAGAAATCCACCTCCTTCAGAATAAAAGCATCTTATTTTCTGTGCAGTGTTTTTCGGTCTGTGGGTGTTTAGTGTATTCATTTCTCTAAAAACAACATAAATTCAACAACAAAAATACAAATCATAAATTAAATGAAAGGTAGCAGAAGAAGAAAAAAATCTTATATCTGCCGCTTTTTCTCAAATAAATAAATTTAATTAAAAGTAATCTACATTTATCTGTGTGTTAGTAAAATATCTCACATACCCACGTACATAAAAGTGGTTAAAAGTCAGTTTTGAGCTAAAATCACAAGAAAACCCCTGGACAAAACCAAACCTAGTTTATTCCTCAGATGTTGAGTTTAAGGAGAACTTTGTGTTCTGACTCCAGCAGAAATCTGTTCCTGTTTTCCTGCTTTAGGAGGAGGAGGACCATGAGACTGACAGTCCTGAGTCTGTGTCAYCGCCTGAGTATGCACTCGTGCTGTTTTTGTAAAAACTCACATGTGAGTCGTCTCCATCGGCTGGAATGTCCTGACAAAAACCCAGAGTTCTCTGGATCTGGTTAAAACGGAGCAAAGCMTTTATTAGCTGCTGTGAAGTTCTGCATCAGAACAATAAAACCAGAGGGAAAGGGTTCAGGTTCTGCTCAGGGCTCAGCTGGTGCCGGCAAATGAGAAGGAAACTGTTGAGTTAGCATCGGAAAGGCTAGCAGCTAGCATGGATAAAGGGGCATTAGCATCGGAGAGGCTAGCGGCTAGCGTGGATAAAGGGGCATTAGCATCGGAGAGGCTAGCGGCTGGCGTGGATAAAGGGGCATTAGCATCGGAGAGGCTAGCAGCTGGCGTGGATAAAGGGGCATTAGCATCGGAGAGGCTAGCAGCTAGCGTGGATAAAGGGGCATTAGCATTGAAAAGGCTAGCAGCTAGCGTGGATAAAGGGGCATTAGCATCGGAGAGGCTAGCAGCTAGCGTGGATAAAGG